AAATTGCTTGTTTTATGATGCATCGTAAAAATAATGATGCTTTCTTCGGTTTTTTGCTTGGAGAAAACACATATCATCAAGTATATTGCATTGTCCTGTTTTCACAGTCATCTATGTAGTTCGGCAACCTAATTGTTTTTTTTTCTTTCACCATTCTTCTCAGTCAATCGGGGAAACTTCATAATGGAATTTCGCATTGAGAAGAAAAAAGAACATGAGATCAAGCAACAGTCGCTGACGCAGCAATGCTCACACCTCGGAACTACTTGAATAAGACAAAACGAAAAAATCTGCGACTACTCATGAGGTCATTCAGCATGTTGGAGATTTCGCAGAGCATACGTCGAAACGAAGAAGAAGCACGAAATAAGGAGGCGTTACATATCATCAATTGTGCTGCTCTTCTCATCGGAATTCCAGCTATTCTATTTGCAACACAAACCTAAACTGTTCATAGTTAATCTACTCTAATTTTTGAGGGTGCGCATGCAGAATATGGTGGCACGAACTGCAGAGTGCGGGGTATGGGACTCAACGCGAGGAATATAGATTGCATATATTGCAGTGGTGAAGGCTTGCGTTGTCGTGTGAGAGTTAGCAAGTTAGTATGGCTGGTTTATTCATCCATGCCTATATACAGACTTCCATACTCATTAGTGTCAGTAGGATTCCTATGAGACATTGCTCGAGCGGAACAATCCAAAAATGTCCCATATGCTCAATTGATATTACCAATTTCAATAAAAGCTTCCTAATGTGTAATCTTGAGTGAAATGTAGAAAAACCTTAGATTTTTTCTTGAAAAACTATTCCCCTGTTGAGAGATTTAAATTATAGTAGATGCATCCTCTGCTAAAAAACGACGATGACAAAAGCAGTACTCACTCAGTACATAGGGTGTGGGTGTGGGCTTGGATATTCCTTTTCAGAGTCTCACCCACAACATCACCCCATTCTCGAAACATGTAGTTTTTTTTAATGCATTTTCGCAAAAGTAGCACATTTTTATAAGCTTTTGTATGATATCTATATCTCATCAAAATTATATCCTTCCTGCTTGAAACTTTTACTATGCATAGATTTCAAGAAGGTGTGCTTTTCATAAGAAAATATGTTGCGATGATTGAATTATTGATGAGTTCATCTGTACTATTCGGCACAAGACGAAATAGTCATTTTTCGACCTTTTATCCAGATACATATCTCGTGAACGAATCATGTGAGGCAACGAATACTATGACTATAGAGATGCCATATCAAGTAGTTACCATGTTAAAAATTTAAGCTTTTTAAATAGTTTTGATCGCTCAGGAAGCCCTCCACAAAACCATGATTTTGACTAAAGCGATGAGTTCAGTCGGGTTTGATCTCTTGAGTAATGGTGGAGTCTTGTAGAGTGGTGTTCAGAGGCTTATTGATAAAATCGAAAGTTCTGGAGAAGGTACGGCAATTTTTCAAAAGTATTCTTTTGTGGTTTTCAGGGGCTTCATCTAGAAGGTGACAGAGGATCGCGTGTTGATTAATGCTGAGTACAAACTATTTCATACGACTAAATGCTTCTATTAACTTCTGAGCAAACTCGAATGTATTTCCTATGAATAAGAAGTCGTTTTTTTTGGTGTTTTTCAATTCGGCTTCAGAGACGATTCTAAGAGATCCTAGACTAATTCTTGCATAACTTTCTAGTGCTCAGTATACACTTTTTTGGTCACAGGAGCTCCACTTCTCTAAGACACATTCCTTAAGAGACTGAGCCCTGTCAAAGTCGTCGTTTTAGTCAAAACAACCATTGTGTGAAGAATTGCTTGAGCAATAGGAACTTTTCAGAGAGCTGAGTTTTTTACAATAATTGTTACTTATTAAGATATCTCTATTACCAAAATATTAGTTGGATTTGGCGTCATCGCTTGAATAATCATACTCGACTTTCACCGTGAATTATGCTGATTAGATCATGTATATATTGAGGAAGGCTTTTGTTCGAATCGGAACTGAAAATCCAAAGTTCTCTTAGTTGTCGTAAATAGCTAAAGGCCATCAGTACTTAGTTTGGAAGCAGCAGTTCATATTTTGCTCTTAAGCGATAGAGATCCTAGTCACAAGGTTGAAGATTTGTCTAGTACCTATGAAATACATCTGTAACATCTAATAAGCAGAAAACCACTTATGAGTGTGTTAGTTTGCAAGGTACCTATGGTAATAAGTAACCACAACGCTCCATGTCTAAAACATCATGGTTGAAAAATGGCGAAATATACACTGAGTGAGTACTGCTTTTGTCATCGTCGTTTTTTAGCAGAGGGTGCGTCTACTATAATTTGAAGCTCTTAACTGGGGAATGGTTTCTCAAGAAAAAATTTAAGGTTTTTTTTACATCTCATTTAAGATTACACACCAGGAGGATTTCACTGAAATCAAAAACATCAGTTTAGCACGACTGATCGTCCCTATTGTGCAATGAATCCTACAATTGACGGTCAACTTATTTTTGTGTATTATTTCGTCATGTAAGATTGTAAGAAAATCTCGGCCAACAACCTACGATAGAAAAATCTATATCGGTATGTCATGAACTCACGATCAGCAGTCAGTATCTTCCAGATTTTAGAGCCATAAATTTTGAAGAACAAAAAAGACTCAGTACATATGGCTATATTATGAAGCTATCCTTCCACTTACTGTATTTTTTTGTCTCTGTTCTTTTTCTTTTTTTGCCTTGCTCACAAAAATAAAGTGACGATTGAAACCATATAATGTTGCTAAGTAAACATGCGATAAGTAGGAAGTGCGAGCAAATGTGTTCGAAGGCAATATAAATATAATTCCTTGATATTTTCAATGGGATAGGTACGAATTGGAGGAGGAGGTGTTTGACTGTTGCTGTGATTGATGAGAAAACAATGTCCACCCCACACTCACAATCAATACATATACAAGTGTAGATGTGGTCTTTTACACTTTTAGTGATATATACTAAATTGGAAATGCCATTATTCGAGCAGGGAGGGAGAGAGGCACGCTATGATCCCAAATGGCATATTCAATGAATTTTATATTAAATAAAAATCTCATGAAAAATGGGATTCAGCAGTATAATTGGTCATTTATAATAAGTGAATGAGCTATGGAATAACGGAAAGTTTCGAATTTTGGATACATAGTCGAAGTTTGGGTGTGGGAGCAAGTGTATCGTTGCATATGTACGTCTAATTCTTCTCTTCATCAAAACCTTCACCCACCCACCCTAGATTCTGTATAGAAGAAGGTCTTCAGGTTATGGTAATCAACATTGCATCTTGTTTTCGTTTTTGATAAAGTCTTTATTATCACATTTGCTTATTGATCTCTATAGCACTATTTTTAAAGCTGAATTTGACAATAGTATCAGCATTGGATTACATTGTTATTAGAAATCACTCGTTCAAATTCTCATCAGTTGAGAATTGATTCTGTGTTGTGTGGATTTATTTGCGAATGGAAAAAACCACTGTTAGTAGTCAACAAAGTACGTCATCGATGGATTGTTTATCGATTTTTTTCTCCGCAAGAGAAAGCAGCTAATCAAATATACCATATGTAAGTACATTCACTTACAGTCAGAAAAAAAGGAAGAGAAAAAATATGTGTCAACAAACACCTGGCTGTTTTTGTCTGTGGGTGGCATATGCGATGCAAGCAGCGCGATTTATTTTTGTTAAATAATAACGAGGGAATCATCTAGTCATTTTGAGTGTAAGGTGTGGATGTGAAGGTTTTCACTTTACATACAGTCTATCCAAAGCGATACTCAAAAGAAAACTTCGTAAAGAAAAATGAACTACAGCTATACAAAGATAAGACATAGATTTAAGTTGATTTATTCGGCTGAATAACTGTTTGTATCCAGATTGCTTTATTTAAAAATGGGAAGTGATTAAAGTCATGAATGAGAATGAATATTAACGAATTTAAATTATCATTAATTATTTCTTATAGAAATAAGTAAAGAAAAATAACTCCATAATATCAGCTATTCAATATTTCTCACGGCAAAAGAGAACAAAAGTATCCGAAACATCGATATATTTAATTTAACAGTTTTTCTTTTCTATATCAGCAAGTTCTTATAACATTATACTGTCGAACATTAATATGGGTTTGTAAATCCAATTGCTATCGTCTCAGGACATGCATGTTATAACAAGTTTTTATAGACAGTCAAAAGAAATGTTTTGTTTTACCATAAGAGGTTTATTGGTCCTACAAGTTTTATCATTTATCACACTTTACAAAGAAGGAAACTTCATAACATTTAATCACACCTTCTGTAGTATTATTTCACAAGGACGGAATAGTAAAACGGAAATTCTTATCATTGATTGACTAACAATTCGGCATTTTGAATGATTCGAGGGATATGTTTTGTAAGGGTGTGGGTGTGGGTGTGTGGGTGGGTGTGTGGGTGTGGGTCTGAGGTGTGAGGTGTTGGTGCGTGTGGGTGTGTGGGTGTGGGTGGGTGTGGGTGTGGGTGGGTGTGGGTGTGGGTGTGGGAATTACTCTACCTCTCACCCACACCCACACCCACACCCACACCCACACCCACACCCACACCCCACACCCACACCCACACCACACACCCACACCCACACCCACACCACACACCCACACCCACACCACACACCCACACCCACACCCCACCCACACCCCACATCCACACACACACCCACACCGATACCCACATCCACACCTACACCCACACCCCCACACCCAAAATGTATAAAATATTGGAAGATATCAATCGATTTCGAGTCTTTCACCATCAATAGCTTCTAAACTGGTGAGAAGTATCACGCTCATTTTGTTTCAAACGCGTAGCATGCATCCAATTTTCTAATTTGATTGACTCACTTGTTGACAAATTATAAATATACTTTACAAAACGACATGCAATGTTTCGAGCATCACACTTATCACGTTGTTGATTCATTTTCGCTATTCATAAATTCGATTTAACACGTAAACTAAGTAACAGAAGCTACACAACGTGGTCTAAATCGTAACATTTCTTTCACACTCCGTCGAAAAGTTGGTGAGACGATTAAATACAAGTAGAATGCAGTACAAGAATCTGTATAAACCAAAATCTGTGTAATAGTAAGAATGAATTGCTCTATAGGTGTGTTCAATAGAGAATCTTTCTGCATCAAAACAGCATAAAGATTTAAGGCTGCACCTGGTAATATTGAGACGACAATAGTTGTTGTTTGAATCACAATCATTCGAGTTACTTGTTGAGCAATACCATTGGAGGTTCGATATAGAACTTGGCGTAGTCGAGTTTGTCGAACATTTCGCCAAGTGAGATACCCGAAACTACTCCAAAGTACTATCGGCGATACAGTACCAACTATTGCATAAAAATAGAACGAAAAATGAGCAAATGTCGCATTGATACAATCACACGTTTTGCTGCTAGGTATCGCACTTCGAAAGATACCAAAAGGTAATCCCAAAATGATTGATATAAGGACTGCACAATAAAATAGTAATCGAGCTTTTATTAATGTCATCCATTGACGTTTAGTGACTGATCGGCATGTTTGTAAATAACGATGAATAGCACCCAAATATAAACACACGAGAGCAAAAACACCACCACCAGTATATAGAAACGAACTGATTTTGCAAAATGAAGATGAAACACCTCGAAAATCTTGTCCTGTTGCATAGCCCATGGCTTGTGGCACAATAAGGCCAATGATGGTTAGTTGCTCACCAACAGATGCTCCAGCTAGATACATTGAACTCGGAAGACTTCGAAATCTCTTCAGGCAAGTAAATACAATGATATTGAACGCAGTGCCGATGGTACCGATGCTAGTAGCAAAGAAACCGAAGTAAATATATAGATATGGAATAATCACAAGGAGCTGTTGGTTAGAAACGGTAACCACAAATGTTTGATTAATGTTCTCTTTTTCATGAGACAGATCTGACATTGGTTTGATGTTATCTCTATCTTTTACACCTAGAAGTAAAAATCATATGTGAAATTTTCTAGAGAAGTAAAGTAAAATATTTCATGTCACATTTACACTGCAAGATAAATATTCTTTGATAATCCTTTGTAGGGTCTTAATCTATTCATGTTGTATCAGAATCATAGTATAATGAGGTAATTGGTTTGTATTTGATTTCAACAATCCTCAGTTTTGGCTAATATTTTTGTGTATCTCTTATTAAAAATAAATCAAAATTGGTGGGAAAGCATAGAGCTTCAAAATGTTCTTTGAAGATTTTTGCAGAAGACTCTGCTTAAAAGAAGTAATTTTTTGTGGAATGTAGGTACGAAATGTTTGATCGCTAGATGCATTAGAATTTTTTGTAGTCATTCATTGAAAAAAATGTGGGCAAAGAAAAACTGACTTACAATCGTGCATTATCATGTTATCCGTACCAGTAAAAAACCGTCAATTAACCGTTCGGTTTACCATGGTTAACCGATGGTTCCTACTACTAGCCATAAAAAGAATAAGGATAAACTTTCCTCTTAACAAATGCTCTTTTCTGTATTTCATTTATTTAGTTTAATTATGATTTATCAGTTACTATATGTATCTATGATATAAAAAAGAACCACTACAACAATAAATAAAAAGAAGTTTCATTAACACGCAACAGCATTTTCTTACTCATCAATGTCTGGTACATAAAAATTTTGTATACATAAAAGAAAAATAGCTTACATAAAATCACCGACTTTTCATTTGAATGCTGAGATAAATCTAAAAGAAACAAAATAACTTTTATGAAATGAACTTACTCTTTATTTCAATTTCGAGATTGACTGAAGTAACAGAAAAAAAAACGTCATTTAATATACAATAATACTGTCTGCTTATTTAGACGTCATGACTGGTAAAAGAAAAGAAGATTATATAAAAGAATACTTTCTGTGAATGTTGGCGTCGAGTTTGGCTTGAATATAAGAAAAACAACAATTTCTATAAAATAATACTTACTGTTTATTTCAAGATTGAGAGTGAAAGTAAAAGAAAAGAAAAGAAGATTATCTATACATAATAATAAATATAATCGAAAAATATTGCAGTCCAAATTGAATAAGTGATGAAGGAGTATAAAACTATACTGAAAAAATTTAAGTTTATTTCGACCTTTCGACAATTTTCAGTTGTCATCATCAGAAAATAACTAAAGGAAAACACTTGTACAATACACATTTTATTTTAGAACAATATAATTAACATGCAAGTATAACACACCATTATAACATGACGAAACGAAAAGAATGTTCGTAAATTAAATTGTTCAAAGATTATATGTGTATTGTAGTAATGCTTTTCGTCAGTTATATCCTAATGGTGACAATTGAAAATTGTTGAGAGCTCGCAATAAACTTAAAATTATCGTCAAAAATATTTTTTGTTACAATTTTGTATTCTTTTATTACTTATAAAATAATACTTATTTTTCATTTGAACGCCTAAATTAATTTGAATAAGAGAAAAGAAAAAAATTTATGTATAATAATATTATCTGCTTATTTTGACGTCGAGACCAATCTTAACACAAGAAAAAAAAAAGTTTTGGAAATCAATACTTATGATTATCTTTTTAATGTTTTTAGTAATTAAAATCAATAGTAAAAAACTCTCGGTTGACCGTGGTTAACCGACGATTTTGCCAGAAAAAGACGACATGGGTTAACTGTCGTGCTAACTTTATTCTATGATCTTCTTTTTAGCTGTAAGTCATCGATCATGTCTCACTGCTGCTCTTATATTACTTCACTAGTTAATTTTTTTTATCCATTTTTTTCTTTTGATGACATATTTTAAGTGCAGAATATTTACCAGGCAGAATATTTTATTTTGTGAGGTTTACATATTTGATTCTCAAATAACTTAATTCCAATGTACTGGAATTCTGTTTTTGACTTCTGATAGCTGAATAGATTTTTGTTTTTTGGTTCCAAAATACAGTTTACAGACAATAGAGAGCAGACAATACCATTATTTCTTTTTATCTCCTTTCTATTTGTCATAGAATTATTGTAAAATTCTATGTTATCGATGATGGTGTATTATGTATATATAATGTTGTGCTTGACATTTCAGAATTTGAGTCTATATTGATATCTCATCATTAAAACCGGAACTATGACTGAATTCCACTGATATTTTAATTTTCTGTTAAAGTCTGCTTGCCTTTTTAATTTGTTCATAAAAAGTTATATCATCTTAGAAATATACAATACTGGTTTGTATAATCACTATGTATTCTATTACAAGTCATAGAAATCTCGAGCGAAACCAAAAGTCACCGTTGAGAGTATCATCTACATTTTGCTTATTACAGTGAAGTCTATAGAATGCTGAGTTCTGATTGGTAGACATTCTACATTGTCATTAAATACGTCACAATCATTTTATTCTTCTGGCTTTGGAGTACATTTTAGAGGATTCAATGTAATCAACAAAACAACTGAATTTTTTTATAACACGACAATAAAAATTAGACTTGTTTACAGTCAAAAGCTCCATTGACATTTTTGTTATTGATGAAAAAATAACTTTTATCTTATTAATATATCACATGTCTATGTTATTTCACTAATTTGACATAGATAGTAGTCTTTAACCAATCAATCATCCTATCATGTTGTCTAGACAATGGAATTCGATTGTGATGAAAATTCAATAAAACCTGATAGACCAAATCTGCAGCATTGTATCGAAATACTGAATTTTGCTAACTGTTTTTCTCTCTCTCTCTCTCTCGAGAGAGAGAGAGAGTGAAATATAGATGTGAAACGGCTCTCTTCTTATAATCATTGAAAAATATGAGGCGCCATTTATTATATGATCCATTGCTACTGTTAGTCAACAATAAGCCGTAATTTGTGATTTAATGTGTGATGATGATATTAACGACCAAGAATATACCTATGTTGTAATTTTGTTTGATGAAGATGCAGCCGAATTCGCATATGATCTGAGAAGAAGGAAAAATCGACAAAAACAGAAACAAAACTAGGTTACTTTTAATAAGGATTCTAATGTATTACAGAAATCTCAAGTAATCTTATAGAGAATAGTTTAATAGGATATTTTGTTCTGTGCCTTGAATCGAAAGATGATAGCGGAAAAATACCATAGATAAATAAGTATTATAAATTTGTTTCATGAATAAGACCAATCCTATTGTTTTTTTTCAGCAATGTCTGAAATGTGGATTGAAGACTGTTATATTATATTTCTTATGCTGTTCTCCTGTGATTTCCTTTCTTGTTTTGCTAGTTAGTCGAAAAGCTATATTGAAAAAAAAACAATTGCAAATCTAATATTTGCAATTATCTATGTGCTAGAGATCAAGGAGAAAATTTGACTCAAAAATTATCAATAACTTGTTGTACTATGGGAATGAAAGTGGTTTTCAGTTGTTACAGGTAGAAAATTCGAGTTTTAATAATGTTATGTGACGATAATGATCGACTGTAAAGATCTATTATATATTCCTCATATTCTCTCACTTTTCAAAGAATATTCAAGATCATCATGTCTATCTATTTGCCTGACAGAACTTCGATAGCCATTGATAGAAACAAATATCTCTTTTCTGTTCATATGATAGCATAAGAAACAGATATCTTGTCAATATAATGGATATCTTTTCTTATGAATGCGACCATTGTCTATTTGAAAGTAATTAGTAATACTTTTGATAGGGTAAACTTAGATGTTTATAATCGACACATAAAAACAATGTGCTAGATAGCGAGCATCGTCAATAAAACATAACAATTGAGTAATATCATCAATAAATTCTTGAACTCATTCTCGATCATATACTTCTAACGAAAATAGTCCAATCATTTGAAAATACGAATTTTAATGATACTTAAGAGCATAATTGAAGCTCTTTTAAAGAGCTGTCAAATGCATTAATTTTTGCACTCATTAGAGTCTAATCTAGAATTTTATTTAATAAAAATGATGTAAAATTATCATATGAATAAGACTCACCACACTGTAAAATTGGAAGAAGATTTTATGCTGATTCGGAGCAGTTTTCGTTATACTTATCGGAGATTGGAGATATTTTCCATATCTACGTAGCTATAACTTTATTCTAGAAACAAAATACTTCTATATAAATTCCTAAATTTCAAAATCTAGTTCATTGACTGCATGTTTGAAAGTGCTTTAATTTAGAACTTAGACCAGTAGTCATGGGTCAAAGACTTTCATAAAATCTGTCTTAAAATTGATTAATGAATATTTTTAGTTGAGAATTTGAATGCTATATTCTATTATTCTCATGACAACAAGTTGGATAGCTAATTGAAATGTGTACTATGTAGCAGAAAAAAATATAACATTAAATAATAGAGCAATTTCCTAGTTTCGACCTAAGATAAACTTTTATATACTTTAATTAAAATTTTATCATAATAATTTGATTTACTTATTAGAAAATATATACCTGTGAACAATGGTAAGCAACGAAAAGCGATGAAATAACTAGCGTAAGTTCAGCTGCAAAATAATCTTTATATCCAAGACCAACCTTTTGAATTACGAAGAAAAAAATTGATAGAGGTATGATAGCTGTGAAAATTTGATAGGTAGTATATAATGCCATTCCACATGTTTCTTGTATTGATAGAATACACATTAAAGGAACTAAATATTGTATTGATAAACGATTACTTAATGGAGTTCCATAAGCTAGAAATCCACTGACAAGAAATGATGTTGCCATTCGAATAGAAAATTGAACATGTCGGGAACATGCTGATGATGTTAATTTTGAAGATGAATAATTATAATGATAATTAAAATAAAAATGAAAAACTCTTTGAAAGGGTGTCGAAATAGACATTTAAAATCGATTTACAATGTTTTTAAAATGGTCTTTATTGTATACAATGGCTGAGTGATATTGAAGACTGTAGCAAAGAACAAACAAACAAAAACGCTATTTGCACCCATTGATATGAAATTGTGCTTATCATCTAATTATAATACGATGTTGCACTTAAATAATCATCATCAAATATTTATTTATACTATATCAGAGGTTAAAGTTTGTTTAAGGACCAAATTTGTAAATAAAGTTAATATTAAATTTGTTTCTTTAGTATGTTTGGATAGATAGCTTTATTGTTGCTTTAGTTTTCATATTCAAATTCACATATTGTACGATATCCATTTTTAACGTAGCAGTTATGTAAATCTGTCTAGTACATCGACATAACAAAGACAATACTATTTTTTCTACCATCTTAAAATTAGTCTAAATAGAAATATTTTATATTGATTTCATTCCAGTCTTACTATGTGAAAAAAAGTTGAAAACTGAAGATACTGATATGAACACTTAACAGACTTTTTATGAATATTTTTTTTTTCATTTATACTTTTTATTTTATAATATATGAAAACTTACCTGTTTGTATCTAGCTACTTCTTTTCTCTATCTCTCTCTGAAAAGACACAACTGATACATATTTGCTTGATTTTAAATAATTGAGGACAGTTATTTAAATATGAGTTACATATCTTTAAAAGAGTTCGAAATGAAATTATATCGTCGTGATGCGCCGAATGTACATCTGCATTCACATCCGTAGATGAGAAGACGTTTTTCATAGAAAATATAGTGATAATATAAACAAGAGTTTTCAGTATAAAAAGTACGAAATCAATATAAGAAACTCACAAAAACTTCAAAGTCTATCAATATATATCTAAAAATAAGAACAACGACAAGAGCAGAAGCTAACGCATGTATGTGACGGTCACAAAATAAATTCAAAAAAAGATGTATATAGACGAGAATGTAGAAGAAGAAAAAGCAATAATATAATGTACTATAATTTACATTGAATAAAAATATTTCTGTTAGCTTTTTGTAATTTTATATCTTTAGTGAAATGATTCAAATTTATCTTTTATACTTACTGATTTTTTTGTTTGTTTCAACCGAAACACGAACCTAAAGAATAATTGGTATTCATTGTAATAATTCCCGAACGATATTCTTAACACTTAAAAGTGATATTTGATGAGTTGTCCAATCTATTCAGAGTTGCACCACAAATCACATGTCGATAAATAATGAAAGATAATGAATAGATTTGAGAAGTTCAATCGAACTTCAAATCATAGATATCCACGGATCTTAGTGGCTCTGTGTCCAGGTCCGAAGGAACTTTTGATGCAGACGATATGTTTTCAATCTTTTGCTAAAATTTTCTTCATTTGATGAGAAAAAGAAATCAAATATAATTAGAAAGTAAAGAGAAAAAAAACTTTTCTTTACTATCGAAACGAATCTGTCATTATGTATGCCTCCCAAATGCTAAAAAGCTGTAGGCGTAAGTGGAAGTATAGATATATTATTCACTGATACTGTTGAGTTTCGATTATTTTTTGGTGAATGTGGGCAGGTGTCGACATAGATTGAGTACTGTTGTGAAGTATGGGGTGTGGCTGTGTGTATAGAATAAATACCATAATCCAAACCCAGACCCACACCCACCCACACCCACACCCCACACCCACACCCGCCACACCCACCCACACCCACACCCTACACCCACACCCTCAGTTATAACTGATAGTGAGAGAATATGCAGATGCATTTTATACGATAAAAGGATAAATGCATTCCAGGTTGTTAAACGAAGAAAAATCTCAGTTGGGATGTTATATTATTCATTTTAAGTATAAAAAAGTATTTCATTCTTGTTTATAGGGAATATTTAATTTTGATAAAGTAATGTGATGCATTGCACTTTATTTTATCTATGAGATAGCACTTTTATTGGATTGGACGACCTTCGACCAAGTTTAAATTGGAATTCGATTGACAGCAACATATGCATTTTTTCTCGCAATACATGACATTATCTGATCAAATAAAAATTTACAACGACATACATTTCACTTTTCTTTCACATTTACTTCGTTACAAGAGATAATGCATCTTTTTCCATGTACGGCAGCCCTTTAAGTGGAAACTTTTCAAAAAAATTGTTTTTCAACTACGTAAAAAATTGGTTGTTGTTACTTTGAAATGATATCTTTTAAAATTTATATGACTTATTATCAAAAAATCTTTCGAAGCAACGAGAACAGCATAAACATATTCAAATACTCAAAAGCAGATGAAGAAATCCAAAAGACGGAAACGAAAAACAAACTTTGTTTAAAATTGAAATTTTCTGTAAAAAATAAAAGGATTTTTTCGAGCTTTGGTTTTCAATGTTGTCTGTGTCTTATGAATTGATTGATTGAAAAATGAACAATATTTGGACAGGATGCGACAATCGAAAATATTCCTCTGACAAGATCAGTGAATGCTATTACAACCAATATGTATGTGACATCAGATCAAAGAAAAACTGGGTGAGGGTATGAGTGGGTGTGGGTGTGGGTGAATTGAAGATCTATACTCACACGCACACCCACACCCAAACCCACACCCACACCCACACCCACACCCACACCCACACCCACACCCGCACCCACACCCACACCCACACCCGCACCCACACCCACACCCACACCCACACCCACACCCACACCCTCACTCGCATCCACACTCCAAACTTATACTTCTCCGGATGTACTGTTGAGATTTTGGGAAGAAGACCGGTTGTAGTATCCTTGGCTGACCATTCCCTTGAATTTTATTGAAAATTATGTAAAAAAAAGTTTGATTGAAATTAAAATATAGAAAATGACGATTATTCAGACGATTTAATTAAAATCTATAATTAATTACAGGTGAGTTTAATTCAATATCCAATGTTATATATTTATTGTGTTCGTCTTGGTGATTTTGATTGAATGTAGCTGTGTCAATTTCGAGAGCCATCGACTGATTATTTGCCATCTTTCGAATAGAATTTGCTTTATGCAAAGATTTTGAACGTAATGCTGGTTTAGTGGACCTGTTTGAATTATCTGATTTAGCATTTTGACCACGATATTTTTTCCATAAATGTACTATCCGTCGCAATAATGGTAAAATCAAAAGTTTGACGATGAGAATCCCAGAAGCAAACAGTTCAATACATAAAAAAGTAAATAACAAAACCTTAAAAACTAATTCACCTGTTCGAACAATCGGTTGTTGAATATTTTTAATAAAAAATGGACGTTCATCAAGCATTATTTGAATAACAGTTAATGAAGACATATAACGTAAATAGTTCCCAAAGTCAACATAGTATGCTTCATCTGATTGTGACACAGCAGTGAAAGTTGGCATCCATAAACCTGAATAAAGCGTTTCATCTGATTCGCTCAGCGCATATGTCATGTTGATGTCTTTAATAAATACAATTGGAATATAACTTGTTCTACCAATAGCTTCATTAGGTGTCGTATAAAATTGACAAAAATCTAGTTGATTTAATGTACTGCTCATATTTTTTTGACCTTGTCCTCGAATACATAAACGAATAGCACCGATCCAATAAGGACCAGTCATATTAAATTGCACAGCTGTCACATGTCTGGGCACAGAAACTGTTATGGAGGTTGTCGCTTCTGGAATCGACTGTGTGCAATTATGTGCTAAGTGAACATATTTAGTTCCACTAAGATTTTCTTGTGTAGTAATAGAATTACACATAAATCCTGTATTAATTAATTCAACGGTTAAATAAAATATTTGTGCATCGAGCAGATCAAAAATTGGCTGATCTTGTTCTAATTTGGGAATATCAAGAAGTACAAGACCACTAGAAAATTGTGCATTTACCAATGTTTGATCACAAGCAAATTTAACGGGTTCAAAAACCTCTTCGATTGGATAACGTCTTATAAATGATATAGAAAACCAATAAGAAAATGCAATCAGAACAATAACAGCGAATGTTGCTAATCCACCAGCCAACTTTTCACCTTCACTGATTATATCTGTATGTTGAAAAATAATCTTAGCTTTTTCTCTACCTTTTATAAATTGTTGGCATCCACATCTCTTAATTGCTGTCATAAGTAGTAAAATAAAAAATCCTACACCGCTGACAATTAATGTCCAAAGAAGAGGAGAAATAACTAAACAACGTGGATTGGAATTAATTTGAAACATATTTTTTAGTAGAAGCTCTTCAACATCTATTGTATGGCCTGTTTCAGGATAGGCAACTGCTTGACTATAAGAAGGTATTGTACTCAAGTCAATATCGGCTAGTGATGCAAGTGGACAAAATGAATTTGATGAAATGTTCGAACATGGTATGCAATGAAGGGCTCCATTAACGAGTGTGCCAGGATTTCGAGTATGTGGAGGACAAATTTGGCATGGACCTAAACTGGAACGATTTTTATATGTTCCACCAATACAAAGATTTTGTTGAAAATAGAATACGAATACAAGTTCAGTAGTATCGATCCATGTCGATGTATAACCAGCAGAAGCAACAGGAATAATTAAAACATCAGCATTATCTGTAAGTATGGCCATATTGCCTCCACTTGTAATACCAAATCGAGCCAAAGAAGGACGTGACAAACGGCTACCCAATATTTGTTGATTATTAGGAAAAGTAAAGAGAGGAGAACTCAACATAACAGAATGTTCATCATAAAAGAATACTTGTGATTTCGACCAAGATGTTGCATCCGGATCTACAACCAATACAGCAAGTCTTGTATCATCTGCCCAGTCTACNTTGACTATAGGGAGGTACTGTACTCAAGTCAATATCAACTAATGATGCAAGTGGACAAAATGAAGTTGAGGAATTTTTTGAACATGGTATACATTGAAGGACTCCATTATCAAGTGTACCAGGATTTCGAGTACCTGGAGGACAAATTTGACATAGGCCTAAACTTGAACGATTTTTATATGTTCCACCAATACAAAGATTTTCTATAAAATAAAATAGGAATACACGTTCTTTGGTATCATTCCATGTTGATGTATAACCAGCAGGAGTAAAAGGAATAATTAAAACATCAGCATTTTCTGTAAGTATAACCATATTACCTTCTCTTGTAATACCAAATCGAGCAAAAGATGGACGTGACAAACGGGTACCCAATATTTGTTGATTATTAGGAAAAGTAAAGAGTGGAGTAGTCAAATTAACCGAATTTTCATCATAAAAGAATATTTGTGATTTTGACCAAGATGTTTCCATTGTATCTTCAACTAAAACAGCAATTGTTGTATCATCTGCCCAGTCTACGACGCGACCAAGTGAAGAACCATCGGGATAAGATAATGTATGTATATCAGTAACATTTAATGATGATCCAAGATTTTTAAGAACGACAAATGTTGAAAGTCGCGACACTCCAACGACAACTTTTAGACTACGAATAGCAACTGATAATTCATAAAGTTCACTGTATGAGATAACATTCGATGGTACTAAATATGTCGTTTCAGTAGTGAGAGATGTACAAGATGCATTTATTAGGACGGAAAGATTAATAAAGCATCCAAGTGCAACATAATTCTTTTTTACAGTATCGAAATATCCATAACCAGCAACTACTGCCCATGTATTAGCTACATCCACGGCATGTGGAATAAAGCCTGATGATGACCAAACAGAGTTTGCCGTAACATTTACAATAATACTATTCGCATAAATATCTAATTTAAATACAAATGAATTCGTAAAACCATAAGCAAAAGTACCATTACTATCGACACCAATAAGAAAATATTCTTGATGAAATCCTCCTGTACTCATGTCTGTGCATTGATATACAGAGTCACATGTTGAATTTTTTACTTGTACATGAACAACACAAACGTATGGAGTCATTGTCGACATTTTTTCCGCAGCAAAAACAAATATAAAATGTTCATCATTAGTGCTATTTTGAGCAATACCTGCTACAGCTACACTATGAACATAACGATCAGACGTATTGTATCTCACGTTACATTGTATGTGTCCTCCGGCACTAGTACTTCTGTAAGGATGTAGGATAACAGCAAAATTAGAAAAAGCATTAGATGCCGATACAAACATATCATCATTAACAGACATTTTTGTACCTCGAACCACATTGGTTAAATCATATTGACACCATGATATATGATAAGAAATAGTAAGAAGAAATAAAGTGCAAATGAACATTTCGATCTAAAACTATTTGCGTTATATTTTATACTAAAAAAAGTACTATAGTTGATGAATATTTGCATTGATAGGCAAATAATAGAAATTTGTTTTAATTGAAAAATAAACTTGAAGTTTCATGTTCTAGCATAGAAATTCTCTAAAATAGTATCATTGTATCTTTTCGAAGAACTTTTTTATGGAACAGGATGACTTACATAAAATTTCAATTTTGAATAAATGAAGTACAAAACTCTTTTGAAAATTATATAAGTAGTTTAATACTGGAAAAATAGTAATACTATAATTGCTAGTATTTTTTTCTACTATCGATGAGAACAATGAAATGTAGTCAATTGAATTGGAAAGATATTTTAAATTTCCTATTGATTTTTTGAATTAATAAAACTAATATTCACCGAGTTAAATCAATCTTACGCACGGAGAAAATAACTACTGATCTTCTAGAATCACTTTACAGGCGACAAAGTCTAAAACACAGGAAATGAACAAAAAAAAACCGTTGTTTTCTTACTTCAACAATGATTATATTTGATAGAAACGGCTTTTATTTGATGATGCTAGAAGAATTCGTCGCCGGTGCGTTAATGTGGGCGTGGAAGTCGATGTGAATGTGAATCGGTTGTCTACCCTGACTGGCATCCTAACTCATGCACATACACTCAGTTATTTATATCATACGAACACCCACACACTCTCTAGATGTAATAGGATTTTTGCAACAGACTTATTTCCCATTGAATTCAATTTTTACAATAATAACAACATGAAATTAAAAAGAACGAAATACGACAGTGAAAAATAACATGGGAATCACAAAAAGGCAAACAAAAAAAGGGGAGCCCATAAAAAAGAACAAAAAAAAATTCTGTTTCTTATGGAAAAATAAATAGGATAGATACTTACCATGATGATAGGTTACCTTGGAAATCAGCTGTAATATATGAAAGATTTTTCACTTTACCTATTTTACATTAGTTTAAGGAGACTAAAGAACATATGTAAGTTTCGCATTTCAGCTTCGAAGAAGGTCCACTAACAAGCTTTTATTACGCACTTGAAAATTGTGTTTTATTGCGTCTTTTTTAGGCATGACAGTTTCTGATATGATAGGTTCTTTCCTGTACGGCGATTTGAATGAGGAAATAAAGTTTTAATAAATTTTGGTAAAATGGTTGGAGAACCAATTATAAGACTATTATAACAGGAGCGTAAAAAGTCGAAACCGCCTAATTTGAACTGATAGAATTTAGAAATATTAAAAGAAAAGAGAAAAAAAGCTTGTTAAAAAAGAAATTGACTGCGGCGGTTGTAAAAATAAGACAAACCCGACATTATTAACATCGAATTTCTTACGTATGTTGTTACTTTTATTTAAATAATACCATGGTTTAAAAGTAGTATATACATATATGGCTTCTAGATAATTAATGCGACAATCTCTTGAAATCTCACATACCGTTTTCTAGCAAAACAAAAAAGTAGTAATATATTTATAAGCTTAATGAAAATTTATCCTAGGAGCGATCTTTTCACTGAAAAACAATCGCTTCTATATAGTATTGATAATCGATATAACAATCCTTTTTTTTTCTCAATGTTGAGGTCGCTTTCGCAATGAATGTGGATTGGTAAAAAACTAAAATTTCAGAAATGACAGTAATTACGCGAAGAATTCGAAAGTAGGCGTTAAATATTGCTTTATTATTCGATCTAGCAACAAGTTATAAAACTGAAAGTTTCAGTGTTAAATAGATGGCAGTTTAGGGCTGCAATAATTTGAGTCCCTTTACAAGGTTTTTAATTCTTTTAAGCACAAAAATCCTATTCCATTTTGATAACGTCGTTGTAATTGTGGTACAGTCTCGAAAAAAGTAGCCAAGGGTCGACATTACAGAAATATTAAAATAACAATTCATCTGATCACAGATCAATCGACTGAAGCTGGGCGTTGTAGGAAAATCCTTAGAACTCTCGAACGGAACAAGCTAGGAATGTCAGTCTAGTATCGATCGAAAGAGAAATAGGTTTTGAATATTGTTTTCCAAAAAGCTCCATCAAGAACTAATCTGATTGGTCAATGACTAATCAATCAAATTTCGGTATACTTCCATCCATGCATGGTCCCAAGCATTTTCTCTTCAATGGTAAGAATTGCAGGTCTCTACAATATTCCTATCAATAGTTGATTCATAAAATGGTGGAATACATTATACGTTGAAATGGACAGTAGCTATTAGAGTGTTTAATAAATATTAAAGATGTTACTTTTCTGTAACTAAAAATTTAATCTTTATTGAAAACAAAACTATTAATATTTTTTTATCGAAAAGTCTATCAATAAATACAATAACAATGAAATGAATGGATATATAAGGAAAAAATAAGGTAATAATATATTTCATTGAATTTTTCCGATAAATATAATTACTAAACGATCAATATGTATGAATAATAAAAAAAAAAAAAAACGATTAATATTTTATTGAAACTCACTATAAAATACTACTGATGACGTATTCATCTAAAGGCACAAAAAAAAACCCATAAAATGATTGTTATTATTAATTTATTTTGAAACCAAGAATTACGACAAACTCTGCATGATCCATTGTAGACATATGTCAATTTTTTTTTCAAAAATTTTGATTTTTATAATTAGAAATTATTTTCTCTTTGTCTAGACAAATACTATATATGTGTTATACTTTTACTTCATTATGAACTAAGTAGTTTACAAAAATAATAAAATAGAAAAAGTAGTGAAATAACATAATTACGCTTTTGAAATACCAATCAATAATCTTATTGATTAAGATATTTACGAACGTATTATTCTTGTTAAACCTACATTTATACATACTATTGAAAATTTTACGAGGAATATAACAGAATTAGTAAGGAGATGAAAATGTAAGGTTTTTAGTTATTAACCATTCGGAGACCAAGACCATATATAGTTTCCAAATTTAACTAACGGAAGGAATTCTTGTTGGTCCATAAAATACGAAATTTTTTACCAGTCGAACAATTATTGTCCAGGTGATCAAAATAAAAAATCTTTTCTTCCATAGATGTCTCAGTTTCGAGTTGTTGAAATCTATCGAATAAACACAGAGGAAGAGATTCGAATATGAGTTCCTAAGATAAATATTTAAATTTAGTATGAACTATTTTTTTTCTATCAAAATTGTTTTTCAATTCTTAAAAGGATAGTATTTTGAAAATTGTTATTTTAACATTTGCTATTAGTTTTCTAAAATAAACAAAAAAGCATTGTTTTTTAATCGAAGAAAAAACATATTTTATTTGTCTCTAACTAAAGAAAAGACTTTTTACAGTTTTAGATGTCATATAAGGAGTTTATTTGATAAAGAACTGTGATTTGCATGATATAGTATAAAATCTTTTCAAAAATTCGAAATACAAAATTTATCATGACTATGTTTTTGTCAATAACACTTATAGATTGTGGTTTTACTTGTTATTTTTCGTCTGNNNNTATCGAACTTAAGAAACTTTCAGAAATTTTATACATTTTTGGGGGTGGAAAAGGAAGGTGCTAGTAATTCAAAAATGGAGTAAAATGTTTTTCTTGGATATTTTTACATGGTTCGATAGAGCTCGTTGACCTCTACAAAACTGTATATACTAAAAAGTTTTTAAGCCATTTTTTGTGATAAAAAATTGAAAAAACTATTTTGACAATCTTAAAAAACGTTAAAAAAACTGATATTTTTGATATGGAAGAAAAACATTCGATTTTGCAATAAAATTAGCTTTTTTGATCATTTTTACACCACCCCAGGCGTTTCGAAATATACTCATTCGATGCAGCGTGAAAAACTGCACCGAATGAATATACTTAAGTAGATATCAATAGTATTCGCCTATCCAACAAACATTTGTAACAGCTATTCCGACAAAAAGGAATTACTCATATCATAATTTGTTGACCATGTCAATGAATAAACAAATGAACTGCCATATCTTTTTACTACAGTATGCTCCTATTATTCGTACTCGTTTGCTATGTAAGAGTCAGTAAAATTATTTGGCAACAGTTCTTCTGAGTCGTTCATTGGCTACTAGAAGAACATGTTGCCGTTATATTTTATGCTTTTGAGAGAATATCGATTATCTCTCAAGTTACTTATTTTTAAAATATTTCATTCATCCACACCCAATATGTTGAGATTTAGATCGGCTCTGATCATGTTAAGTTCTTCCACTCTCAAAATATCGGTAACACTATCAGAATAAACTTTAGAAAGCCCGACATTGCTACTGTTTCTGTCTAGTCACAATTGAACATTTATAATACTGATAAAAAAAGATAAATGACAAGCAACAAGCGCCATCTGTCATTTCCAATATATCCATGGGTGGGGTGTGAGTGGATCCGGGTTATGATAGCTGTCTTCTTTGTATACCCAAGCCCATCCGTGTTATCCTAGAAAAATAAATCTCAAAAGAAAGACAAGATTGATTACTTGTATTCTTCATCAAAATGTTTGCGACATTTTTTATTTTATAATCTCCTAACAACAATAATCATAACAAATAAATATCTTGTTATTAGGATATATTTGATTCATATGTACAAGAAAAAAATCCTTTTAAACATCGAGAAAAAACAAAATCAATGGTCAAACATTATTGATATCATGCAGCTAATGCTGGAGTTTATGACATATTAAAAGAATTTATTATAATTCATGCTAATGTTAATGTCAATTGAAAAATAGAAATACTGAAAAAGCTCGTTTTTTTTTTGTTAGCCTTTTCAAGAAATATTTAAAGACTGGTTCTGGCATTGTTTTCCAAAGTACCATTCCTCATCAATAATACTGTTGCGCATTCAATTAAAATAGATCATGGACGTATAGTTTGACATCTTGTTTTTTTTGAGAGGCCGTTAATAGTTGCTTAAAGCATGTGTAACAATGGATTGTTGTCATTGAGTCTAATTTTGTGTAGTTGATATTTCAATTATAGCAGCAGAAAAAAGTCATATAGATTTAGATCTGCAGAATATCGCTCGATAAGTACATACATACTTCCATATGATTTTTGAGGAAAATTCTTTGAGAATTTCGAATGGCTATGGATGAGCTTTAACTGTTCGTGGATTGTTTTAAAAGAGTCGAATCTTCGACTATACGCTTCTTATTCTCTATTCTCATGATACAACTATGATCAACTACTAGTGATAATGTAGAATAGAAGATTGAATATAGTCTATCCAAAACTCTTTAGTAGATGGCGAGACGATTAAACATAGAACTACTTCAGTCATTGATGAGCTAATAATACAATTATTGAGCATAAAACTTCGTAGAAGTCTAAACAAATACAAATAAATCAAATAATTGCTGGCGAAATTATGCACAGTGTCTTCTATTCATTTTATATTCAATGAAAACTATTTTCAATTATTTTTCGAATAGTATTCAGTCGTTCTACTTAAAAAGCAGCTGAAGGATAATCTGAATAGACAATATAAATTTTCTATTGAGAACTATGTAATACGAAGCTTCTTGAACCTACTATGGTTGTACTAAAAGGGCATAGTTCTCTGTTTTCATTGAATTATTTTTCTGTTCACATAAAATCATCGTTCGACAACGCTATGGTGCGAGTCATTGTAAAAAAAATAATGTAAGAATAAGACGTCGTACAAGACCTAAAGGTCTGACATTTTGCACATAATCCTAGGTGTGTCTATGCATCATATCAGAATACTTGATCTCAATATACAATTTTTTTTTAGGAAGGCAGAACAAGAAAAAAAAAAGTTGTAATACCCTATAGATTTAATCAGTTTTTTTTTTACTTGTAAGTAAAGATAAAGGAGAGAGCACATAAACTGTTAAATAGGTTCACGATAATTTTTACTTGATCATCTCCATTGAACCATATATCAACGGAAAGAATATATTGAGAACAACATTTTCATGTTAGTATCACGAAGTTTTGACCATTATTCTAATAATTGATTCTATCATTATCAGCAGATGAATTCATAATCTCAATAGTATTATGAATTTCGATAGATCTTTGATGATGCTTCAATCCCATATATAAATTAGTAATCGATTGTTTAGTTTAGCAAACGAGAATTAGATCCGATGTTCTTGAATATTCTATTAGCATATATACTATGTTTATCATGTATTTTTATCTTTCAATAAACGTTTTAGTATCGAAATTAAAATGACTGAAATTCTAGTATATCTTATCTAATCGGCCCTGTAAAAGGTTACACAATCATATACTTTTCAAAGTGTAAAAAAATTTTGTCACTTATAAAATTCTTATTTGAATTAATATAAAGAAGATTTTAATTCAAAAAAGTTTACCATTAGTCAAAACTAATATGATATTCGTATTCGACATAAGAAATTAAGTTGATCTATATATGATTTAAACAATTTCTCGAACTTGTTGTTTTCATCGAACAATTCAATCGTAGTGCTTCTCAAGCATCAGACGAACAATGAATTGCATCAAACATCATCTGAGCATTAAAAAAAAATCTCAAAGGTTGTTTAGAACAAAATTTTTCATTGAGTTCATTTTTCAAAGAATCTCTCTGAGAGAAAAACCAAAAAGATAATTTTTTCAACTAAAAAAACAAATTCAATAAATTATTTTGACTCACGTTAAACTTTTTCGAATTAAAGTCTTCTTTATATTAATTCAAAAGACATAAAATTGCACCTAGAAAATATTGTTTATAAGAATTTTACAAGTGGCCAACTTTTTTTCTACACGTTGAAAAGTATATGATTGTGTAACTTTTTACAAGGTCTATCAGATAAAATATACTAGAATTTCGATCCTAAAATTGCTTATTGAAGGATAAGAATGTATGATAAATATAATATATATGATAACAATGTCGTCAAGTACAACAGATCTATATCTCGTTTGTTAAACTCCGCAATTAATTACTAATATATATATATATATGGAATTGAAGTCGAATTTATAATTTGTTTTGTCTACATCATGATAGAATCTGTTATTAGAATAATAACCAAAATATCTCGTGATACTAGTACGAAAATGTTGATCTATGATTAATTGTAGTTGAGTAAGAATAATATTAGTGAACCTATTTGACCTCTGATGCATTCTCGTTCTTTGTTTTAACGTGCCTTTTTACTGTTATTTATAAAAAAAAACATGTTGATTGTATCATCAATCTAATTGAACAAGTTTTGCAGTTAATTTTTTCAATTATGCTTCTGAATAATCTCTATATAATGGATACATTCATTTCTTCATCAATAAAGTTTATCATTGGATTGATACATATCTATAACATCATCAGAATACGTTGATAATGATTGGATAGTTTCTTTTGTTTTTTATCCTCTACACCTGTATACGTACGACCAATTACAAAATTCAACTCGTTTAAATTTTTCTTTTTGATTTCTTTAAAACAAAGACTTTGTTCTATGTATAAACGGAATATCGATGAGTAAATATTATATATAATATCAGTAATGATGTAATGATAAAACTCACTGAACTTTAAAAAAAAAAAAAAATAAACGCAATTTACTATTTATAATACATCAAATTTGTATATTTATTTCTACTATTTTCTCTTTTATTTAAGTACGACAAAATATATGTTTTCTTTCAAAATTCTACAAGTCAAAGAAACTAACGTCATCGGCCGTACAATAGTATCTCAATGCATTCGTTTAGGATGATAAAAAAAAAAAACACACGCAAACACCCTGAGGTTATCGAGTACAGAAAAAGAACACAACAAGCAGCCTCAAATATGTTCCCGCGCGACAAATAAACGACCTTTGGCTTAACTCATTCCATTCTCGTAGTCAATGAAGAAAAGAAACAGCAAGCGATATTGCTCTCCTTGGCTCCTCCAATACAATATAAGAGTGATCACGTTGAATTCGACACGTGACATCGTATGAATCATCCGCAAAAAAGAACATCACGGAGGAAAAAAGAAAAAGAATTTACTCGATGAATTCACATATATATATACGCGAAATGTCGATGAAGAACACAAAAAAAGAAATAGCTCTGCACATTACACATACAACAAGAAAAGAAAAAAACTAAGTACAAATTTTACTTTATTGTTATTATTTTATATTTTTTCAATATAAAACAAAACAAAAAATGGTTCGTGAAGCTGATATATTATCCAATGCAACATGTTCAATTGAACATATTACAACAAATTTGACTGAAACTGATGGTATACAAATTGAAGATTTACCAACAAAACATATTAAAATATTTAAACCTCGAACAAGTATAACAGATGATGAATCTGGATTTTCTGAAACAACAGATTCATCAACATGTGCATCACCTATTCAAATATTAACAGAAGATCAATATGAATTAGCATCAAAATTAACTGATGAAAGTAAAAAAGAATTTTGTTCGGATATGTGTTTAGTATTTCATGCTGAATTTCAATTAACATTTGGACGTTATTTTACATCAGATCAATGGATATTAATGCCATTATGTGTTGAAGGTACATGTAAATTACCACCTGATTCATTATGTGATGTTGAAATTGCAAAAGTACGTTTTGAATGTGAAGCATGTGGACATTGTTGGACATCAATGCGTGGTCAAATATCATTTTTTTATGATAGTCAAACACATGTACTTTATTTTAAATTATTTACACAAAATTGTGATCGTTGTGGAAATATTTCAATGCCATTATGGTATCCAGAAGAAGTTTGTCGTGTAATTAAAAATGTTTTTGTTATTGTTCAACAACATATTTATCCCGATTTGAAAACACCAGTACAATCAAATTATTATCGTCGTGTTGGAAATCCAAAAGGACAACATCATGGATGTCAATCATGTCGAGATGGAGTTTGTGTTGCATTAGCTGCACAACAACTTGGATGTAAACTTGTTAAATAAACTAACTTGTTTTTTTTTCTTTTGCTTTATGAATATTTTATACTTTTATATAGTATAAAATATCATTAATATGCGTTTTCTCGGCGTGTCTAGTCACCTGGGTATTTTTCTTTCTTTCTATCTTGATTTTGTTTATATGTATATATTTGAAAGTATATTATGTTTTTTGGTTCATGTAATTTTTTTTAAAACGTTTATCTAAAGTAGATTTTTGTTCTGTTCTCGTCGTCTTCATACATTTTTCTTTTCGTTTCTATTGTTCATAACGTATTTTTGTTTGTTTGTTATGGATTATATGATAAATATAAATAGTTATCACATCATTTTATTCGATTTATACATTGCATAAACGTTTAATTATCTAAAAACCACAAAAATCTTTGATATTTTCAATCTTCAAAATTTTTCATTATTTCAGTATGTTGATAATAATGGTAAACATTTAGATAGCATTCGGTACGATGAATCTTGTATAAAAGATGAAATTGTTCGATTAATTATCAAACGAAAGAAAATCGAACAAATAAAGTGGCATACTAGATCAACATATACTCTTTAACCTTTTGTCTTCCTGTCAATTTGGAGTAATTATTCTTCTTTTTTTATTTGAATAACAAGAAAAAAACAAGTCGTCATTTTATTGTCAAATAAAATACTATTTTATCAATCTTGATTGATTTTGATTATTATTTCAAATCTTAAAACTACATAATATATTAAAAAGTCGCATAATTTTCTTTCTATAAATTTAATAATGTATCAAAATAAGTAAATAATATTATCTAGATGGAAGAATCTTAGTTGTTTTCTCGAATTTTCTATTTATCTTTATAGAATAGTCTAGAAGCAAAAAGAAAATTCTTCATATACAAGTTTTATATTACAGGGTGTTCCATAAGTTGTGGCAGATTTTTTTAAATCTAATTTTTGATGATAATGAATACAAATCAAATTCAAACTTACACGTATCATACAACTTAACATGTACTTTTATTTCATATATTTTATTTGGATTAAATCATTGAATATACAAAAAAATAAAGAAATTGGTACATGTGCAGAATAAGCACACGATCAATGTGTTACAATATATATACCCCGACAAAAAAGTTTCACTCTATATTTCTCATATATTGTCACTATAAAAATAAGTTATTTTGAAACTAATTACATATTCTGAAAGCTCGCGGAGTTTTCTATCACTCTGTAGAATTAGGTTTTAGTTTTGACCTTTTCATTACCAAAATAAATTGAAGATAACGAAGGCACCCTCATGTCCAGATTCCCAGACTTGATCTTTTCTTCGTCATCAAAATTAGTTTTAAAAATTTTTCATCCATATAGAGCGTGGATTCAAGTGATCTCTTCAACTACACTCACCGTGGAGACATAGCTTTTTTCAATATTGTCCTATTCGATCTTACTAAAGTTAATCGTACTGTGTTTTAGAGTCCATCTTGTTAGTCATGAATCTGGGTATGGTCTGAATCTGAAAATTTTCTTTTGTCTAAGACATATGTGGGATATGTCAGATTCAGGCTTCCTGTCAGCTATGGCAGTTTATTTTGTAAGGGAATGAAATAACTAGGTGTATGTAAATTAGTTCTGCTCGCAGATACTAAAACAAATGATCTTATTCGTCGAGACAATGACATAGAATAATGTATATTCTATGTGAACGAAAGTTTTACGAGAATCTGCACCAAAAATTAGCCTAGTCTAAATCAAGATCAAGAGAAAAGGCATACTAATCTTTCCACATTTTGTTATAGATTTCAGGATGCGAATCCGAACGAACATTTTTGCTCAGCTCAGAACAAAAATAAACCTGAAATTTACACTGTTTTGAGTCGAGTACAATAAAAAAAAACAAATTAAATGATTGGTATTAAAAATCCATTTAATTCAATAGATGCCATCTGTGACAGTTATGTATCTGTCGCCGTGTATAGTATTGTGACTGAGATTCTTTTTATATGTTTTTCTTTTTGAAATAAAATTATTGAACTTTTGAATATATTGAAAAAAATCTAAAGAAGAGTCACTTGTGTCAAAAATAAATTGGATGTTTACTAACATGTTCTTCGAAGAAGATGCTTGAAAATTTTATCTTTCATAAACTAAAGTATCTGTTACACTTAAAGAATCACTAGTTAATTTTAAAAAAAAGCAAATTTATCACACCCGAAAAATCAGACATGTATAATATCATTGAAAATTTCTTCTTCATAAAATTTGAAAAATGTAATTTTTCTATTTTGTAGTTGTTGTAAACGTTCTTGTAAAACACAAGAGAAGAAAAAAATAAATAAAAAAACTAATACCAATGAGGATAAACAACAATTGGTAGCTACAAAAAAGTAAATATAACATTTTTTTTTTTTTTCTTAATATATATTACATACAACGAATTTTATTGCTACAGAAAAGATGAAGATGGTAATAATGAAGAATTACAATCAGAATCCAGTACTGATGAACATCGTCCAAGCATTGCTGCAGAAATTATAGATTTTCTGTAGGTTATTTTATTCTGTTTTTTTTTTCAAGCAAATATTCTTCATGTATTTTTTCAATGTATTAGACGAGAAACGTATCAAAAGTATATGTATGCAAATCTTTTTGAAAATGCTAGTGTACATTAAAAACATAAACTCTAATCACAATAATAACTCTATTTCTTTCTTGATTCGAAAAAAAAAGACATGTAGTTAATTCATTTATTAGATTCTTTTGTCTGGTTTTATTTATTTTTTTATTTTTAATATATTACTTGTTTTTTTTTTTAGGATACCAGCAACTCCTGATCCATTAAAAAATCCAAGTAAACGTGATCTTAGTCGAACAATTTGGGTTGGTACATTGATTATTATCTTTTTATCATTATTATATTCTATAACAACATTAACACATTTTTCATCATTTAAATATGAAATAACTGATGAAACAAAATTTGATTTATTAGTTAATGATACAATTCGTTTAGTATCACATTGTGAACGTATATCAAATTCTCGTCTAGGAAATTTAATATTTTTTCCAATAGCACTTTCTTTAATAATCATTTTTTCATGGTCAGTTAAACGAGAAAGACGATGTTTAAAAACTTGTGATGGTCGACCAGGTAGAAATATCTTGTTGAATATTTTTAATATTTCATAATGTATTTTTTTTTTTATTTAGGTGTTATACCACCAATTGAACCATTTCGTACAACAAATCGTTTTACAACAGCAACAGTTTTTGGAATTCTTTCATTTGAAGTATTAAAAATATTTGAAGAATTACTTTTTAGTGCAAGTGATCGATTAAATCATGGTGTGCTTATTGAATTAATTGAACGAATAGCTGTTGTTATTCTTGTTGGGTAAAAATTTTTCTTATTTTTTTAAAAGAATTTTTTTTTTTTGTTTAAAAACAAAGAATGAACAATTCTATTCTTATTTTTTTTCTTCTAGACTTCGATATTATCCAGTACTTGCTTCTTTACAATTACGTAATATTACAGCACGATTTCTTATTAGTCTTTATATATTGGGTGATATTGTATTTGCAATTATACGAGAAGGATCATGTATGGGTTTTTTACCATTATCAAGATATTATTCATCTATAGAAGAAGCAAAACTTCGTATGGTATGTTAAGAATTATTTTTTATAGAAAAATTCAAAGATTAATTTAAACTAGAACTTATTAAATTATAAACAAAAAAAAAATAATATAATAAAGAAGAGTTTATTTTTTAATTTTTCATTTTGTACAGTTTAAGTACCATGAATAAGAATAAGAAGACTTGATTAACTGTATTTTGTGTGTAGAATATTACTTTTAATTTGAATTCTACAAATTTGAATTCTTTAAAATTTTAATCTGCTATAAAATCTATATGTTAAACAATTCTTTCATTAAGCACGAAGATTCTCATCAAATTATGATGATGTAAGAGTTCTCGTTTTGCATAAAAGCTGCTTATCACAAATGAAAACTTGACCTTGTTGATGATTGTTTATAAGATGATGATTAACGGATCGTAAAGTATGCTGAAATAAACGAGATAAGAGGAACAATAATTATTTATACAATTCAATGTAGACATGCCCCGAAGCTGAATATTCAAGTTCGGCACTCAAAAGTTACTCAACCAGTTCTGGCAATGTCAAATATTCATGTAATTGTTCACGAGTTTCTTGAGATGTATCACCGATGATGAAAACATATTAAAGTTCGAGTATTTATTAATATCATTAATTTTATTTTAGAATGTCTATACTCTTTCAGTATTTAGATCATTCGTTTTATTGTGTTTAGACTTAATATAATCAACTCTATAATCCTTTCTTTTGACTCACTTCATTTCCATTGCATAAATTCATTGAAAGTAACTGCACTTAAGCTTGAATCTTAACGATGCAATCGATAGGAATTTGTATTCAATTCTTATTTTAGTATAATAATCTTTTTTTTTATTTCACAAAATTTGAATTTTAATATTATTGTTTAATAGTACTGATATTTAATGAAATTGCAAATATTCTAATTTTTATATAGCATTCTGGATACACCAATAGATGAGTTTGACATAAGGAACCAATGAAAGAAATATGACAATATAGTTTTATTTGAATAAGTTTACATTCATATTAAAAATCAAACAGAGCTCTTGCTCGTATGTGAATTTTGAAGATTCTACAATTGTACAACAAAAATAGCATGAGATAAACAATAATTAAGACTAGATGAACAAATGAAATATAATTAATTCTAACATTAGTTTGATTGTATAAAGTCTACATGTATTTTGTCATATTGAACTCAGCAATATAATATTGACTTTATGTTGTTTCGCTTAATTAATCAACGAAGGCTCAATTAGAAGTGTCATATTTCCATTTTTGTTGCCACTAACGAGGGAACCTTTTCAGATGACACCCTCCGTTTTGATTCGTTCGTATCTCATTTAATCGAGTATATTGAGGTAGTAAAAAGACTAAAGGTATTTTTCCCCAATGTTCTTCCTTCAAAAGTTATAGTCGTTTTATTGAATTTTCGACCCATTACCAGACATTTACGAAAAACTCAAAATAGGGAATTTCNTAATGTGATCTTTTTTTTTTCTTTACGCTTCTTATAATCTCATTTTTGAGTAGTATAGCTTGTTCGAAATATACAATGATAATTTCTATTTCCTAAATAATTATAAAACATCATTCTCTATTAAATTTAATACTTCATTTCCTTATTAATTTTAGAAAGTAATTTCAATATATTTTCGAGTTTGACGGCATTCATCTAAAAAAAAAATGCTGTAAAAGCACCATTATCTTCATTCATGGTACCTATATGCATCGTTAGTAATCAAAGGATTAATAAGAGAAAAAATTCAAGCGTAAATATAACTTAATATGGATGCTCTAATCGAAAAAAAAAATTTGCTTATATCTTTTTTTTTTTGTTCTATAGTTTCTCGAAGTGAAAGTCCAAATATATCCGAAGCTAGTGATTCAACAAATTACTTAGCAACAGTTAGTATTGAGCGTTATAATACACGATCGTCACCATCGGCACATCGTTCAAGAACAGTAGATGATAATCATCATAATTATCGTACAAAAAACTACAATACATTAATCGGACAAGAAGATTTTCATCGAAATGATTCTATAACTCCTTTGTCTAGATCAGTTGATCAACAATTCAGTTTTCGTCCATCAAGAATTCAACGTGCTATTCAATGGAATGAAGAAAATATTCCAAAAAATGAAGGTAATACTTTATCATGTTAAAACATTAAATAAAATCGTTAACTATAGAATTCTGTAAACAGTTGTTAGTTCCATATATCGGTAATCATAAAAAAAATCTTTAAATATAAATTTTGTCGAATATTTCTCACTGCTCATTCTTTCTTTTGCTTTGTATATATATATTCTCCTAATTATTTATTTTTACATTACTCGAATAAATGAATTTTTGTTGAATATTTCTATTAGATATTACAAATTATGATGATGATAATCAAACTATAGAAAATTCAAAACCATCATCATCATCATCATCATCACATTTCTATCAATCAAATTATCCTGTTCATCGTAGTGCGACATTTAATGAACGTCAGCATCATTCACACCGATCAATGAATAATGATACGAATAATCAACATGATGGTATTTCGGTTATTTTGGTTTTCATTTTTTTTTTTTTTTTTTTTTTTTTTTTGAAAAAGATCGTCGTCAAACTCGAAAATATATTGAAATTCCTATGTAAGAAAAATTAATATTGAATTGAATAAATATGATTTTGATTTTTGATATAGTCCTCGACGTCCATATGCTCCATTATCTATTAATGATATTCATGTAAATGATTTAATAAAATTTACTCGACCAGGTTGTAAAATAAGTAAAGGTATTGTTAAATATATTGGATCATTACCTGGTAAACCTGATCAATATCTTGGATTAGAATTAGAAAATGAAGGTAAAATATAGAAAAACAAAAGTTCAGCAATAAAGAAGATTTATTTTGTTGTATAGAAAGTAAACATGATGGAGTTTATCAAGATAAACGATTATTTCAATGGTAAGATAAAAAATTTTATAGAGAAAATCAATTGATTTTATTTCATTTTTTTTTTAGTAAACCAAATAAAGGAATATTTATTGGATTTAATAAAGTAATTATGGCATGGAGTGGAACATAAATTCTTTATATACAGATCTGATAATCGTATTTTTATCTTTTATGTTACTTTTTGACATTTTTTTAAAAGGGTTTATTGTTAAAGTAGATAAAACTAATGTGATCTTTTTTTTTTCTTTACGCTTCTTATAATCTCATTTTTGAGTAGTATAGCTTGTTCGAAATATACAATGATAATTTCTATTTCCTAAATAATTATAAAACATCATTCTCTATTAAATTTAATACTTCATTTCCATATTAATTTTAGAAAGTAATTTCATATTCTATGGATCTTGTTGGGAATATGTTATGAAACAATATTAATGTTCTTTCTATAGAAAACGAATTGATTCATACAATAGGAGTGGCGCATTCGTGGAAGATTGGATAATGATATCCACTTTTCCTTTCGAAACTCACAGTTAGAGCTTTTACACCATTACTACTCAACGATTCAAATTGCTTAAGTTCACGACGTGTTTTCTCTGTCATATAGTTTATTATGATGAATATATCTTCAAGGGTAATGTAAAAGACAAAAATCTTTGGTATAGTGCTGAAACTGGACGAAATTCTGGATATCTGATGAACATAGCTTATTTCCTGCGAAATGCTTGAAATTCTGAGGCATATGTGAAGTGAATATTCTTTTCTTTTTGTTTATCGCATAATTCACGAAAATGAAAACTAACAATGGAAGAGTGTATGCGTGCTTTGTAACTTAAGAACATTGTAAATCTTATCGGCAAGGTAACAAAATTAAAAATATGAACTGCTTATTGTGAAGAACTAGAAGAGTAACTCTATCGACTTCCTTCGATAATGATGTTTATTGAACTACTTCATTACTTCAGTCGTGTTTATATCAATACAAACACACACATCGTCGAGGTGAATACTATGAAGAAGACGTCATACTTACGAAAGAAATGAAGCGTAACGATCGTTACACGTATGATATGTATGGACTGAGATATTCAAATCACCAGATATTTACTGTATAAGTAATGTGCCAATAATTCAAAATTTCAGTAGAATTTTATTATATATCACTTGCTGTAAATCAGAAGCAGTTCATATTTTTTTAATTTGTTAACTTGTGGGTGAGACGTTTAATTTTATCTGAATTTGTTCAACATTCTTAAGTTACAATACATAACATTCCATTGTAAATAATGTTTACTATGTGCTTTTTGAACTCATTCATTGTAAACAAGTCTTTGTAAGAATCAAACAAAATCATTAAATTATACTATTATTGCTTATAAAATAAAGTTTTATTTTATTTTAAAAAAGTATATATAAAAATAGAGTAAAAATAAGACCGATGTATTGCATTACCAATTACATGGATGATAATCTTTTAGAAAACATCCATATGGAATATCAATATCAGTTTTACCGTCAGCTAATTGACGATAAGTATTAATAATTGGATCAAGAACACGTGCTGCTGCATCTTCTTCATCAAGTGGTGTTTGAAAATCACGTTGACTCATAAATTGAAATGCTAATTTGATTGGTTTTTCATCATTAATCCAACCTATAAGATTTAAAAACAAATACGCTTTATTTTCTTTTAAAGATCTTTCAAATGACATGGGCATGTTTAGAGCCATTTTCTGTTTTCCTTCAATCATGATTTATTCACCTACTGAATTTTGCCAGGAATTAAGAAAATAAGCGAATTTAGACATTATTATTTGTCATTTGTAACTGGTGATTTAACAGATTTCGAATCGACACAAAAAAAAACAACTGACGAGAGAAGGTCCCCAACTGTCAAATCGCTTTCGAGTCAGGAGTACGTGCATAATGTAGGTCCTAATGAGCTATGAATACTCTGCAAAGAGCTCGGGGCGCGAGCTTATTACTGTTGAGATACCG